TGTGTGTGGCAGCGAGACAGCAGCGTGAAGCACTGCGCCCACGCCTGCACCCCTGACCAGTGCTGGTGATCGCGTGTCGCTGGTGATCGCGTGTCACAGGTGCTGCTTTCCCACCCTGGCTCGCTGCTGTAGAAGCTCCTCTGCTCCTTTCACAGCCAAGGTGGAGCGGAGCCATCTCCAGTGAGTGCTCCTGGGTGGGTTCCAGGGCAGAGTCCGTGCCAGGCACTGTGCTTGGTTGGTGTTTTTCCTTCGTGATCAACCTGATTGTTCTCTTGCTCTGGCAGCAAGCCAGAGATAATGGGGTCACGTTGTGGAGGAGGAGCTGATGGTGGGCTCAGGTCTCCTGGGCTTTGTTCCTCCTGGCAGATGGTAGGTGGGAGCCCAGAGGACAGTGAGTGATGCCTCTGGTCATCTGCGACAGGGCTCAAGCTTGCTCTCCAGGCTGTCATTCCCAGCATGACACTGCCTCTGCTTCTGCCCTCATGTTTAATGTTTCCTGCAATCAACTGTGATCGCCATCTGCCTGCTGGCACTGAGGCTCTTCTCAGAACAGCCGTCCTGTGGCTGATAAAGCCTCTTGCCTCCTCCTTGGGATGGAGAGGACAGGGGAAACGGGCTAAACCCCTCACAGACTCCTCTGTGGCGTCCACCTCGGTGCAGTCCAGCCTCCTCATGGTGCATCTCCTGTGCTTTTCCATGGGGCCATGGGTGTCTGTGGCTCATAGCCCCCTGCTCCTCACCACCCACCAGGACAGGGAGGCCGTGGCAGCTGGCAGCGGATGGTCTGCCTCCCCATGGCGTGCGCTGCATGGCACTGGGAAAGCCAAGCATGCAGGGTGGTTTGCAGAGGAGTGAGTTTAGTCCTGAGGAGAAGGAAAGTCTGTCTCATGTCTGGGGCTAACCCTGGATGGCTGCAGGCAGTCAGCAGAATGGAGGGGCCAGCTGCAGGAGGCAACACTTGGTTTTCCCTGTCCATACATCCCCTACAGCTGCAGCTATGGCTGGCCGTTCCTGGAGACAGGACTCTGGCTTGATGGAGCACAGGTCTGGCGCGGTGGCCGTTTGGATGTTCATGAGTGCTTCCCGCTCTTCGAATGCTCTTACTGATGTGTGTTTCTCTATGCCTCTTCTGTGCCTTCACCTCCTTGAAAATTGTTCATCTGTCAGTAGCTCTGCTCTGCTTTGCGTGTCCCTTCCCCGCTGTGCTCCCCTCTCCTTGCTCTGTGCCCAGCTCTCCCTGCCAGGCACAGCCAGCAGCCTGTGACAGGTAGCCATCCAGGGAGACTGGTACCTCTGCAGAGACCCACCGCACTGGGAATCAGTGAAAACCATGAGTAGGCCACACTGCTGCTGGTAACTCTGTTTTCTTCTCCTGCCTCAGTGGGAACCATATTTTCCAGGGACTGGCTGCTGGAATAGCAGTGAATGAGAATGGGAGAGGCCAAATCACAGGTATGGGAATGAGAATGGCGTTATTCTGCCCAGTTTGCTTCTGTTGTTGAGCCTCTGTCTGTTTGATTGCAAAATTTGTCTTGCTGTGGTTCTTGGGTGACTTTAGGTGCAATAGTCCCCTAGTTTGCATATTCTAGTTGGCATTTCTGCTGTTGATGGAGGGAGAAGGTCTTTCCACAGCATGTCCTCCAAATTATTGTTCCCTTCATCTCTGGCCCAGCTGGGACATGCAACTGTGCTCCAGAGCCATCTGCCTTGTGTACTGCATTTTTTCCCTCTCATGCCATCCAGTTTACAAGCTAAAGCTGTCAATGACCTTTTCCTACTGTCGTGGCACCTTGGAGTAGTTTTTCACTTTACTCTGCACCTGGGAGGGCAGGGAGGTGGTGGTTACTGGAACTGCTGATGACTGGTGGCCTGTGGGGAACGCAGGGACGGGGAAGCTCTTGAGCCTTGGGCTATGCCACAAGTGATGGGAGCTTTTCTGTGAGGCCAGGCCAGGTCTCGGCTTGCCAGGTCTCCTTGCTCTGCCATGAGCAGGAGGCCCATGTGGTCACCTTGTCCTCCTTGCCTGGCCCTAGGGAACGTCATCTGTGAGAACCAGTGGGGCGGGGCAGACATCCGCCATGGGGGCGACCCTGTCCTCAGGAACAACCTCATCTCCTGTGGCTACTCGGATGGTGTGGTGGTGGGCGAGCGTGGGAAGGGCCTCATCGAAGGAAACGCCATCTACGGTAAGGAAGCAAGCTGGAGTGGAGAATGGATCTTGCCTTCTCCTCTGTCTCCCCGTTGTCTTGGGCTTGCTGGGCTGCCCTTTACCTCCAGTGCACTCTGGAGCCATAGTGGGTGCCCAGGATGGGGCTGCGGTGGGTGCCCGGGATGGGGCTGCGGTGGGTGCCCAGGAGGCTTGGCCAGGAACAGCACCAGGCCCAGCCCTGTGCAAGCACACCAGAGGTTGTGCCACCGGCACCACTGGGCTGTGGCTGTCGAGGGGCCCTCTCCCTGCTGTGGAGACCACCACTTCATCTCTCATGGAGGGCAGGAGCTTCCTTCTGAGCCCTGAGAGGGAAGCCAGCCTTGCACTATTGCCCTTGTGCAGGACAGGGTTGCAGCAGAGGCCGCATGGTCCCACAGGATGCAGGAAGCCGTGTCTGCTGCTGTCCTGCACCCGGCCAACCCGGG